ATGCGTGCCTTGCTGAGGAATGCAGCCCGTGTCATCGTCAGTCAATCAGCATGCTGCTTACAGCCAATGGGTTTGAACTACGCAATAAACACCCTCTAACCTCGAACTGCCCCGGTTGTTTTTCCATAGAAAAACACAATTCAAACGAAAAGTGTTTGTCTATTTCAAACAACCATTCTCATCAGTCAAGGGACACAGGTCTGTAGGTTTAAACTTTATGAGCTATATGACTTTCTCCGGCGCACAGGACAGCTTTGAACGCGTGCAGGTGCAGCAGGCTCCATTTGGATGTACGGCCGGTGTCCGCCGCCCGGTCCGTTGCAGGGTGAGGCCCTCTCACCCGCCCGCGGGGCACGCGGCACGTGAGACAGGGGGCGCTGCCTGCGCCGGCCGCAGCTCGCAGCCCGGACAGGGGAGTCTCGGCCACAGTAGCTGGGACTGATCGGGAGCGCCGCACGATGGGGAAACTGTGTCTGGCCGCCGACTGGGAGGACATGGGGCAGCTGAGGATGGACGCCGCCGCCGCCATGAGGTTCGCTGACTGGGAGGAGCCCGACAGGCGGGATCACGGACCGCAACAGGTCGACCGGGAGCCCGGCGCACAACAGTGAGTGATGCGTACTAACTTGGTACTAACCGCTTTGCACAGGCACAGTACTGCCAGGAATAGACATAAAACTGGCAGATGTAACAAGGCGTTGTTGCCGCGTATTTGTAGGTATGTTCAATCGGCGTAGCCGTAGCCTCTTGCACTTTGCACACACGATAGCGATGCATAAATTACAATGCACAACCCTCGTCTCACTGCCTGCTAGGTGTTCTTTTTCGTCAAAAACCGCGGGTAGCTAGCTCACAGGCTTGCTACCAGTTACTCGGATTTCGGAAACGATTACACAAATAGGAGTATCGTTAGTCGTTACAATAATAGGGTATCGTCCCGATAACAAATAGGGTAAATATAAGCGGCCCTTCCGTATTTACGATTCACCCCCTCCACTTTCTAGTGAAATGGAAAGAAATGTGAATACTTCAAAACATGCAGACAAATCCTCTTTCTCCATGAATAGCCTCTCTTTCCTCCGTGAAACCGTTGAAACGGAGACTTGTCGCCGACCTAGATCCGTTTCTACATACTCCGTTTTCCACTCTTCTACCGACCAGGTTTTCCGTTTCGTGCAAATCTGAAGGCTCTGGGCTTGCTGATTTTCGTTAATTTGGGCCGAACCAAGAGTCAAGCGCCTTCAGTTCAAGAGTCAAGAGTGTCCCTTCCTAGTCCCTTATTAATGGACAACATTATCCGAATGGTCCTAATGAATAAGACTTTTGGTCAGCTGTTTCTCCGCAGAATGGTCAGACTTCCCAGGTGCTTTCTTCATGACGATCTTGGCGACGGTTGAGACGCAGGAGGACCATTAAGCGGCCCTTCCGTATTTGCGATTCAACCCCCTCCACTTTCTAGTGAAATGGAAAGAAATGTGAATACTTCAAAACATGCAGACAAATCCTCTTTCTCCATGAATCGCCTCTCTTTCCTCCGTGAAACCGTTGAAACGGAGACTTATCGCCGACCTAGACCCGTTGGCCGTTTCTACATACTCCGTTTTCCACTCTTCTACCGACCAGGCAGGTTTTCCGTTTCGTGCAAATCTGAAGGCTCTGGGCTTGCTGATTTTCGTTAATTTGGGCCGAACCAAGAGCCAAGCGCCTTCAGTTCAAGAGTCAAGAGTGACCCTCCCTAGTCCCTTATTAACCCTCGCCCGCACATGCCATTTTCCCATCCTAGAACGCACATGGGGGGGTTGCCACCCCCCCCCCGGCGCCATTTCGTTCCTGTTGGAGATAGAGCTTAGCGGTAAGGACCACAAAGATTCTTTGGGAAGAGACAAATCCAATGATACCCAGTTTTACCTTCTCAGGTCAGTCATTGACCTTCCAGGTCAGGTCAAACTAAGAAATGTTGCTGTTTTGGGTCACCGTTGGATATCAAGTGCGCTGCTTATCATATACCGATGACGATGCCGTTTTCTGGTGCCAAGCCAGTTAGAACCTCTTTGTCACACTACCCGACCAGGTTTTTGCTGCTGAGGTCATTTCAGGTCAAGTTAGGTCAAGGTCAATTATATGTGTTTGTATGTCTGTGTGTGTCTGTGTGTATACTGATGTGTGCACCGATTGTTTATGTGTCCATATTACATGAAATCATGATCTGAGAAGCTTTTACCAAAAATGCAGTCAAAAAAACTTCACAAAAAGTAAATTCCGCTTGCCTAAAACGCAATTATCTTAGATGACCTAGGTTGACCTTGACCTTGACCTTGACATCTGTACATCGTCGAACAACATGTTCCGTGATAGGTGGGAGGTAAGACTGGCAAAAAAGGCCGAAATCAAGGTGTCAAAAGCTCACAAGGCCCATAGCCAACGCAAGATGTTGAGAATTGGCCATTTGGGTCATGATATGACCTGAAAAACAAAGCCATATCTCCGAAACCAAAAACCACAGAAACTTGAAATTTTCAGTGGACATCAAGAAAGGATTGAGGACCAGCTATATGAAAAATCAGCCTTCTAGCTCTAAAAATGTTGAGTGCAGAGCAGAAAGACTACCTGGGGGTGGTGGTAACCACCCCACCCACCCCCCCCCCCCCCATGTGCGGGCGAGGGTTAATGGACAACATTATCCGAATGGTCCTAATGAATAAAACTTTTGATCAGCTGTTTCTCCGCAGAATGGTTGGACTTCCTAGGTGCTTTCTTCATGACGATCTTGGCGACGGTTGAGACGCAGGAGGACCATCCTAATCGGGGCTTATACCTACGTGACGCTACTTGTCCCTAAACTTCTTCTACCAGCGCTTGTTGGTGAAAACGGGGGCTTAAAGTGAAGCAGCCGTCTATAGAAAGTGATGATCCCGCAACTCAATGTGACAGTGCCGCCCCTAAATCTATTAATAGTCCCACTCAATGTAATGGTGCCGCCCTTCTAAGCATCTGGGGAGCCCCTCAATGTGATGATACCGCCCTTCAAGAAGATGATGCCGCCCCTTTCAGTATCGGTGGCGCCCCTCAATGTGATGGTGCCTCCCTCAAAGTGCCGGTAGCGCCCCTAAATGTGATGGTGTCTCCTGTCAACGAGTCGGTGGCGCCCCTCAAAATGATGCTGCCGCCCCTAAAAGTGCTGGTGCCGCCCCTTACAGTGTCAGTGGCGCCCTTCAAAGTTTTGGAGGAACTCATCAATACAATGTTGCCGCCCTCTAACTTTCTGTAGCGCCCCTCCATATACATAATGGTGCCGCTTCTCAAACTATCCGTGGCGCCCTTCAAAGTGATGGTGCCGCCCCTTACAGTGTCGGTGGTGTCTCCTCAAAAGTCAAGGTGCCGCCTCTCAAAGAAATGCTGGTGTCTCTCGAAGCGTCGGAGGCGCTCCTCAATGTCCTGTTGCCGCCCCTCAAACCTTCCGTAACGCCCCTTCACGTCATGGTGCCGCCCCCCAATCTGCTCACGGCGCCCTTAAATGTGATCAGTAACGCCGGTCAAAGTGCTCCTGGCAGTGTCGGTGGCGCCCCTTATAGTGTCGGTGGCGCCCCGAACAGTATCGGTGGTGCCCCTCAAAGTGATGATGTCACCCTCAAACAAACGGTGGCACCCTTCGAAGTATCATAGTCCCTAAATATCATACCTATTGCCGTCAGGGCCTCGGCTAAGGAATTTTGACTACTGGGGCAAATCGTCAGCGTGTTGGCGCCTTGGCGGGGGGGGGGGGGGGGTTGTTTGAACACCTGCGGTTTTTCCTGCGGTTTTTCGAGGATATCTAAAAAACGGCGGCGCTCCATTATCCATCAATTCTACACGTGTTGCAAAATTTTTAGGCCAAGGTCACTCAAGATCAGGTCACCAGGTCACTTCAAGTGACCTCACCTTATAAAATGTTTCAATGTATGCCGTAGCTACACCGAGTGACCGATCGCTTTGAAACTTTCAGGGATTGATAAGGGAAACAGCATGTACAAAATTTATAACTCGGAATTTTCATATCGGTGACCTAAGGTCAGCTCAATTTTGCGACCTCTATTTTAAGTCAATGGGAGAAAATTCAAAACTACCTCTTTTGGAAGAAAGTCATTCTAAACACTATAAAACACTGTATGTGACTTTGACACACTGAACATGAAAATAGCACCCGTGACCCTTGTATATGCCCCTGAGGTCATCTCAGTTCACGAATGGTATCTAGCAGTTTTTCGCGAATAACTTTTGAAAGAGGCATGCTAGAGCGATGAAAATGCCTTAGTTTTGTTTGGCTCAACGATGCAGATCGACTGATATGCAACATGACAATTTCCGGTCAGATCATGACCTTGACCTGAGGTCGAATTTTCAAGTTAACCTTCAAGGTCAAATTGCAGTTAATTTGATGCGTCTTGACGAGAGGAACACGATATCGGTAAAAGAAAGCTCGTGCTAGGCATGAGTCAAAAGTTATTGCAGAAAAACTGTTCCCGAAAATATCGTCCATTTTGGTAGTTTTTGCCCCTTGCAGGCAAAACCGTAACGTTTACGTTAGGTCAAATCTAAGAGAAATAACCAGAAAACATGCTAATATGGCTATCAAATGCGCTTTTCCGCGGTGCTGTAGCTCTAATTGGTTCCCGAGTCATGCGTCGGCATCTTGTAAACTGTCGATATTCGACCTGAAAATCGGCGAAATTTGGCATTCACCATGACCTGACCTTTGACCTGACCAAAAAAGTTGCCGAAGTAATTTCGTCATTATTTTTGACGCTCTTTCGAACGAAGATGGATTATGGGGGCAAAAAGATATGTTTGCCAATGCACGCCTATGTTTTTGGGTGGAAATTGAGGGTCCAGCTGCACACCGTGCACTCCCTGTAACAGAATACAAGTGTTAATAAGCAAATTCTTGTTTGTGATAGTCTAGATTTGTAGGACCGTAGTTGTTCTTGCCGTTCAACCACGCGATTCCAATAATAAACAGAAGGTAAATACAAAGTTGGGCCTGTATTCAATTCACGGCCACAGAAACCAAAGATAACAAACAAATTGACTTTGCCAAGGGCCGAAGACAGACCGGCCCGCCGAGCAATAAAGACAGAAGTGCACGGCTGTGACTCAAAGACCGAAGTGCCACACCGCGCGGCACCGGCCGAGTTCACGACACACACACACATACGTCACATATACACGTCAGACATACAAATGTACGTCATATCATAGCACCAATCAGAAGCGGGCAAGGACAGGCGTCGCAGGTGAGGAGTGAGGACCATATAAGGATATTGTAAGTGGGCGAGGGGGCTGGGCAGTAAGTAGGTACAGAGGGAGGTGGAGGACGGGGTAGGAACGAATTTCGTTACAACACAACGCGAGGTCCTTAAAGCTGAAATTTTGACCAAAATTTTCGGCTTGGGATACTCCTAATATGATGCATGATATAACGTACACAACACACGACACAACACAAACAACACCTAACACAACAATATACACAGCACCTCAACACACAATTTCCCGTTCTTTTTCGTTGTAGTCCTCGTAGCTATAAGTCTATAGAGTCTTCTTCATTGTCCGCTTACGAAACATAGTCTACTGTCCCACTCGTGCTCATCGATTCGGTTCTCGCTTCGCAATCACTGGTAAGATTCCGCTGCGGGCACATCAGTTCAGGGAGTTCAGAGAGTTCAGAGGGTTTAGGTCACCTTTGACGCTGCTGTCTGACACGTGTTTGTCAGTCTATTGTCCATTGACACCAGATCGTGTGTCAGGTGTCGACACGCTGTCGCCAGATGATGTGTCAGATGTTGACACATTGACGTTCTCACGTCTCGCGTCTTGTTGTGGGTCGTCCGTCCGGTGTCGGGCTGACCAGACCACGCGTCAGCGTAGTTTTATCGGGGCGCCCGGACGTTGGGTGTCCGATGCGGGGCGGCCCGATCTCAGTGGCGCTGACTAGCACCGGCGGCGGCTCGACCGAGTGTGGGAGCGCCGCTACTGGTACCTCTGCTGCGGAGAAAGAACTCCTCTGGAAAATATTTGCATCAGGCATCTGCGGATTTCTGAGAAGCGAGGGTCGGAGACGGTTTTAACCATTGTAAGCACGAGGGACTTGGGTCCGTGAGTTTTTCCCGGGGCTTGATATTTGGAGCTACACTTGACGTTTCTTCAACAATAACACTGTCAGGGGCAGGATTTTGAGCGGATACTTTCTGGGGTCGGATCATAATGGGTTTAAACACATGACATCGGACGTATAGAACAGTTAATAGCACTAACGCAACCACAATACACGTTGTGACCGAGATGGCGGGGATAACGACAGTTTTATTATGCTGAGCATTGCGTACTCGAATCTGTTGAATATGTTTCTTCAAGTTAGACAAATGGACACTTTTGTCCTGAAGTGGGGGAATGAAGTTTACTGCTTCGGGGAGTGAAACATTAGTTTCCGAAAGATCAACAAGTACCGCATTTGACCAAGTATCTATTACAATGTCAATAACTTTTACGCTCTGGTTAAACTTAGCAAAAAACTGAATTGCCTGGTCACTTCGCAATTGTTGGCGGTGCTCTGCAAATATACTACTGACTTTACTTTTAAAGAGCTTCACATGATGCTCCAGCTTCAATACAAACGTCCATGATGTCCTGGTTTCGATGGGGATGTGAAGAGTCCAGTGGTCGTATGAAGCGTAGAGATGGCCTCGGGGCAGGAAGAGAACGTTGGCCGTTGTCGGAGATGTCAGATAGAACAGGAATGTCAGGAAGAACGGTCTTGCCCACATCTCTGGAACACACACAAACAACTATCAACATTTCGCAAACATGAGGTTAGTACACGAACAATTGAACGGTTCACTGACCGAACATAAAATGAACAACACATAAATGGCTGTGGCATACTAGCCAGAGTCGGTATATCATTAAACACAATACAACGTGGTACCGCGATTACGTTGTCTTCGGCATACAAACCGGGATCCATAATCTATATAAACACTATAACACAATACAGCCGTTCGGCTTCCATCGTACTAGCTGGGTTCCACAAAATACTGTAGACATTCGGCTGTCGTCCGACCTGTAATAACTCAGTGGGCCGGGGAACCTTTTTACATTGTTTCTAATTGTTTGAACATGTCGGTCATCAACTTCTCATGCGTTTTCAGCATCTTAACTAACAGGGCTTCTTTCACACGTGGGTTAGTACACATCTGCTCCTTTTCAATATGTACACCATCGGCGTCCAAATCGTCTGAATCCGATTCGTGGTCTTGGTCGGCACATTGTAATTTTGAAGGAGGGCTACGCGCTTCTGCATCCATGTCGTTCGACTCTGATTCTGTACGGGTGAGTGGTCTTTTCATAGGGGTAGGTTCAACTTCAAATGGATCAGATAACTTTTCCGTTCTCAGGCGCTTTGCTAATTGGGACAAAGGAATATTCTCGTCGTCAGAACTATTGTCTTTCGATTTTTCTTCTCTCCATCGTTTTCGCATTTCGGATAACGGCACGTCAAGATCTGCATCGGAATCAGAATCTTCAGGTAAAGGTGGGTAATTTTGTTCACTCGGCGACGGTTTCGCTGGAGCGTAAGTTTCAACAGGGGTTGATATCGAATTGGGGGTTGAATCACGAATAGACCGATCTGTGACTGTTTCAGTATTATGCATTTCTGTATCAGCGAATGAGAACTTTGATTGACGTGGAGGCTGCACACGAAGTGGAACCGGGATAAACGACTTCTGTTTACTTTCGTACTTGCTGTTGATATGATGTGGTTCTTCTGTCACGTTTTCCCAAAGGGTATCTGGATCAGCGAATCTCAAATTATGAACGTTCACTACTTTGACATCGCCAGACAGTTGGTTCTTAATGACAAAGGTTACGTCGTTGATGGCTTTGATAACGCGGTAAAAAGGTTTCCAATGGCACGACAGTTTGGAAGCATTTTGAGTCGCCTCTGTAGGGTTTCTGAAGTAAACCATATCACCGACTTTGATTTTCGTTGGCTTGGCGGTACGATCGTAATAAAATTTGTTTCTCTCATGACTTTGTACTAGGTTGTGACGCACATGACTGTAGGCAGAATGCATGTTTTCGAGCATGGTAGGTACGTAATCTTCACCTTGGTAACGATATTTTGGAGATAAAATGCTATCGAGTGGTAGAACAGGGTCACGACCGTAAAGAAGGAAGAAAGGGGAATACTTGGTAGTCTCGTTTTTCGCGGTGCGATAAGCAGACAAGATTGAAGGAAGCTTTGTGTCCCAGTCACGTTGAGATTTACTCACTAACTTTGCTAACATGTCGTTCTGAACTCTGTTATATCTTTCGCATTTGCCGTTCGATTGCGGGTGGTAAACGGAAGTTCGGATATGTTTAATGTTGCTAAAAGTTGTAATTTGGTCTATGACGGCGTTACAAAACTCTGTACCATTGTCTGAAATCATAATCCTAGGACAAGCATGGCGAGGGATGATATGTTCTAATAAAATTTGGGCAACCGTTTCTGCACTTTTTGATGAGGTAGCGAACGACTCTGGCCATCCAGAAAATAAATCGATGACAGTAATAATGTACCGGTTTCCTTGGAAACTTTCAGGGTACGGACCGGACGTATCTACTGCGATCTGCTCGAAAGGAAACTTGGGGATTGGCATATCTTGCAGAGGGGGTCGCTCGCGTCTGAGCTTCCGCATATTGCAGGCGACACATGTTTTTAAGTACTGAACAACGTCTCGATATAGACCGGACCAAAAATAACGTGAACGGATCTTGTCGTACGTTTTATCTATACCTAAGTGTCCGCCGAAATAGCCTGAATGAATTTCTTCGATGATCAGTTTCTGTAGGGGCTTGGGAATAACTAACTGCAAACCTGGAAATGAGGGGTATTTGGACGGATCAGAAACTCGATATAGTAGACCGTCTTCCAAAATATAATAACGAGACACTACAGCATGGTTCGAATGATTTGGGTCCTGTAATACTTTGATCAATTGTTGGAACTCGGGATCCTCTCTCTGAAGTAAACCAAGGTCGGGATGTCCTTGCAAAAACTCTTGGAATTTTTCCTTGGGAGGAGCCTCAGGTAACTCACTTCTTTTCACTTCAGTCTCTACTTGAACGTCAGGCGCTCTATCGGAATCAATCACATTCACACTGCACGAAGATTCATTATTTACACCGAATGTGTCTACGCATTCGTCGACATGGCACGGTAATGACTCACTAGTCATTAATCCATTTCCTGGGATATCCGTGTGACAATCCGCTCCTGAGGTGTCCAGTCGCGACAATGCGTCTGCAACCACATTCTGACGTCCACTAATATACTGTATATCACATCCATACTCATCTAATATAATCGCCCAACGTTGAATCCTAGCATTCTTCATTTCACTGGTGAACAGGTGCTTGAGGGGCTGGTGGTCCGTCATAATCGTAACTTTACAACCGAGTAAATAGGGACGGAACTTTTGTACACTATATACAATCGCATAAGCTTCTCGCTCGATAGTAGGCCAGCGTTGCTGGGTTTCGTTGAGCTGATGCGACAAATATTGGATGACTCTTTCACCCAATTCAGTCTCTTGGACTAGCGCAGCACCTATGGCGTTTTGTGACGCGTCAGTATATAACTTGTACGGCTTATCTACGTTCGGATATGCCAAAATTGGTGCAACTGTTAAAGCTGAACGAAGAGTTTCAAACGAAGACTGACATGCATCATCCCAATAAAAACGACGGTTTTTCTTTGTTAGTTCTGTCAATGGTTTGGCTATCCTTGCAAAATTTGGAACGAATCGCCTGTAGAATCCACACATACCAAGGAATGATCTGACGCCTTTGACATTTGTCGGAGGGCGGAGATTTTGTATTGCACTTATTTTCTCGGGATCCGGTTTGATACCAGATGGAGTAACTACATGGCCTAGGTATTTTACTTCTTGTTTCAAAAACTCACATTTTGACATCTTTAATTTCAAGCCAGCGTCTCTCAAACGTGAAAAGACTGCATCTATATGTTCTAAATGTTCCTCAAAGGTTTTTGAATAAATCAAAATATCATCCAAATACGCAATAGTAAATTTGTGTTGAATGCCCCACAGTACTTTATTCATAAGCTCTGAAAACAGACTGGGTGCATTGACATACCCAAAACATAACTTTTCAAACTCGTATTGGCCCATGAAACAAGTGAATGCCGTTTTGGCCTTTGACTCGGGATCCATGGCTATCTGCCAGTACCCACTGCGGAGATCTAAAGAAGTGAAATATTTCGCACCTTCAAGCGAAGCCAAAATGTCGTCTATGCGCGGAAGAGGGTAACTATTTTTGACAACGATCTTGTTCAAAGCACGCAAATCAACACAAAACCGTTTTTGTCCGTCCTTCTTATCTACAATCACAATCGGACTAGACCAGGGACTACGACTAGGGGAAATGATGCCAGCCTGCAACATTTTTTGTATATGCTCTTCTACAAGTTTTCTCTGACTGAAAGGCAACCGGTAAGGTCGCTGTTTAATTGGTGGATGATCACCAGTTTCAATTGTTGCTTTCACTAAATCAGTACAACCTAAATCTAAATCACTTTTTGCAAACAAATCCTCATTTTGGGCCAAGAAGTCTTGTATCTTTTTACGTTGACCTTCGGACACATGTGACAATCGCGCTTTTTGACTTTCGGGGACGTCATCTGACGGTTCACTACACTGGTCACCTTCCTCACTAGCTGTAAATATGCATCCTTCCGGGTCTTCTAAAACTTCCGCAATGCCAATGACTGATCGAGAAGGCAAAACGTAATCCCTACCAGTGGCGTTCACTATCACGACCGTAATACGCTTGTTTTTGTCTACGTGACCTACACTTTCAACCAAACACAAACCAGGTTCTTCTCCTAGAACGGGTGCATTGCTCAAAGGTTGTACTATGCAATCTTGATCTAGCAATTGAACACGGTTGACTAACGCGGGAATCTCTATATACGACTGAGCAGGAATTGTAACTTTGTGAGGCACTCGAACCAAAGATGTCGTCGTTTGGCAAGTCAGACGCTGAGGTCGCAGCGGGATGACGTTACCGTCGAGGTTCATCGTCTTTTGTCCAAAATCCAATTGAACACCGAATGCGGAGAGAAAGTCGTTGCCTAGGATACAGTCGTTTTTCAGACCTTCTACGATTTGGAATTTGAACGGTTGATTAAATCCTGCAATTTTGACTTGTAGTACGGCCGTTCCGAAGTTTGTGAGTCTATGGCCAGAGATAGAACGAATAGGAACGCAGTTCCTCGTAGAAAAACCCTTGATTTTCCTGCACTGAATTTTATCAAAAGCTTCACGTGAAATAAGGGATATGTCCGCTCCTGAATCTACTAACGAATAGGCTTTTTGGTCGCTCAGAGATACATAGCACATCGGCGTATCAGGTTTAATTTTAATTTGTGCTGCTTGCGGTCCAGGTTTCTTTGTAGAAACTTTCCGTTTCGGACCGTCTTTCTTTGGCGCGTTTCTGGTCGCTATTTTTCGAGACGCGCGTTCGCGTTTCCCTGGGTACTTTGGGGAGGAGGACGGGTTGAGTTGCGTCGGCACGTACGGCGTACATGTCCAGGTGTGCCACAAGCGATGCAGATGGGGGATCCATCTTCAGTCCACTGGAAGTTCGGTCTGGGAGTCTGAGGGGCTTGAGGGGGAGTTTGTACGTTACCATAGTACGACATCAGCGGGGATGGAACATCAAAGCGGACTTGCGGGGGAGCGGTCGGGGGAACGTTGAAGTAAGTCTGTGGGGGAGTAGTCGGAGGTACGTTGAAACGCGCCTGCGGTGGGGCGGTCTGAGCACGTTTTTGCGGTTTCAGTTTTTGGATGTCGCGAGACATTCGCTGCACTTGGGAGGTTAGATTCTGAATAGTGGTCCGAAGTTCAGAGTCTGTAGCGGACTGAATACCGCTGCAGTCCATGGGTTCGACGTCGGACTGAGGAGGGGAGTGATGGCGGCAGACTTGGAAAGTCCTGTCGGCCTGCTGCTCACTTTCAGCGAAAGCGAGGGCGTCATCGAGGTTAGTGAATCTTTTCCTGATCAAGTTTCGCGCCAAGCTGTCGTCGCTCACGCCTTTTTGGAACACTTCTACTAGGAAGCGTTGCGCCTCAGGGGCAGAGAGATTTTCGAATGCCTCCGATGCCATTGTCCGCAGCTTTTCAGCAAAATTTTGTACCGACTCACCACGGTTCTGTTTTAGACGTCTGCATTTTTCCGAAGCCAGGTACGGATCAGTCATTTCGCTATACCGTTCCTTTAGTTTCCGTCGGAGTTCCGACCACGTGATTTGGGGTTTTCTTTTAGCATGCGTGAAGCGTACGCACCAGCGGATCCGTTTAAAGTGATGGTCGCCAAAACACACATACGCTCTGAATCGCAGGTAATAGATATCTGATCCATGTCGTTTAACCATTGGGCGAATTTGGCGGAACCCTCCCCGGAGAATGTTCGGATGTGCTGAGTTAGACCCTGAATACGGAGTTCCTGACAAATATTTTGGAGCGCTTTGGTGATGACTGCCTCGGACATTTTGAAAACTCTGGTAAGTATAAATCAATCAGCGAATACAAACAAGTGGTGTTTATGGAGCGTTGACAAATAAACAGTTCAGTTGACACACGAAATGCGGAGATAACAGTCACACAATGCAAAAATTACACAAATATACACAGGCACAATAACAGTTAAGCAATCGAAAGCGAAAATGTGGGCGAAGACGTTCAGGGAAAAGAGAGGAAAGAGTGACAGCTTACTGTTCGTAGACTTGTAGAGCAATTTCTTGCGGAACCAATTTCAATTCTTGAGTTTTTTATTTGATCCGGGTCACGGCACCATTTGTAACAGAATACAAGTGTTAATAAGCAAATTCTTGTTTGTGATAGTCTAGATTTGTAGGACCGTAGTTGTTCTTGCCGTTCAACCACGCGATTCCAATAATAAACAGAAGGTAAATACAAAGTTGGGCCTGTATTCAATTCACGGCCACAGAAACCAAAGATAACAAACAAATTGACTTTGCCAAGGGCCGAAGACAGACCGGCCCGCCGAGCAATAAAGACAGAAGTGCACGGCTGTGACTCAAAGACCGAAGTGCCACACCGCGCGGCACCGGCCGAGTTCACGACACACACACACATACGTCACATATACACGTCAGACATACAAATGTACGTCATATCATAGCACCAATCAGAAGCGGGCAAGGACAGGCGTCGCAGGTGAGGAGTGAGGACCATATAAGGATATTGTAAGTGGGCGAGGGGGCTGGGCAGTAAGTAGGTACAGAGGGAGGTGGAGGACGGGGTAGGAACGAATTTCGTTACACTCCCTCTTCAGCCGCCCCTGGTTTCTTGCCACATTAATGTCTTCAACCGCTCCCGAATGAAAGAATGTACGTTGGTAGTGTGTAGTGGGAAAGGCAATTCTGGTCCTAATTTTTCTCGCTCATAGCGCTATTGGTTTGGTCTGCAGAAGGGGTGCCCGTCTTACCTACCCTGACCGTCTTACCCCACTTTCCCCTACTTAAATCTTAACCCTCTAATGCCCACACATAGTTCCACGGTTCCTAAAATTAGCACCTCGTGACCTATGATTCATTTTGGGTCCCTTGTTCGAAATCTGAAGTCAAAAAAAAAATTCGCAGTTCAAATTTCGGAAATAATTTGTGTATCAAATATGATACATTGGGCATTCCACTTGGTTATTTTTAGTGGTATCAGACCACACAGAAGGAAGTGAAGGCATAGATGAGAAGATATATGTTTTGAAAAATTTCAGAGATAAAAGCGGCAGTTAAAATGTGTAAAATGCAAACAAGAAATCCTTTACTGTGCGCCACTTATCAGAACATTTTCTCAATATTTCATTGGCATCCTACTTGTATCAAAATGCCCTTTCAGTCGGTACTAAGGGAACAACGCTAATCATAGGCATCTTTTTACGAGTGCCTTCTATTCCTTTAATTTCCACGATACAGCGGAAAAAAAAAATGCACTTGTGCATTTTTTTCATAATTCGGACATGTGGACCATGCTTCTCAAACGTGCATTATACATACTTGATACAAAAATGAAGACATTACGGTTGGTCGGTAAGTGGTCGAAGTGAAGCAGTTCTGATGCAAAATGCTGGACAGCCTGCCGACGGACCGGAATCAATGCCAAAGACGATGTTGGTTTATCTTCACGATAGCCGGACAATCCCTGGTGACTGAAACTCTCAGCCTGTGAATCGTCAGTTAGCACTTTGACTGGTCGTGCGGTCCTCATGTCATCGGCGTCAGTACAACAGCCGCGCACTGACCAGTGACCAGTGCAGTAACCGTTGTACTTGTCAGACAACAGAGGTACAGGTAACTGTGTACCGATCGGCAGGAACTTGCACAATGTTCATTGACCTCATATGGAGGTGAGCGTACGCAATGCCGCACTTTAACTTGTATTCTTATGGTTAGTGTCCATGTTTTAGTATAAATCCTATTTGTTCAGTGGCAATCAGCTACCATACTTGGCGGCATATGTCAATATATGACAACAAATGACATACCTGGCAGTAAAAATGTTTGCCAGGTGTCAGGCACCTGCTGGATCCTGGCAGCAGTGCATGGTTGCCTACTTCTTGGATACGTAAATCAAAGGAACCACGTCCTTCGGTCTTGACGTCTGTCTTCATGGCGAGTCCGTTTAGCTAGCTTCCTCTGACGATGACGGTGTAGTTTTCCACTCCACATTCAATCTCTTACTATACTGGGATGAACGGAGGGGATTTGAATCGCAAACAAATTGTGAGTCGTTCTCCAGTATGAATGAAAAATGCTGGCTGGCTGCTAATGCAAGTCTTCGGCCATGCCCAGCTAAGACATAGACCCACAAGACATAAGCCCGTCCACAAACCCTGTTGGAATATCGAAATTGTGCAAGAGACCGCTGAATCCTCCTTTCCCAAACATAGTCAAGTCTCAATTTTTGGTTTCACGAGTACCTATAAATGCTTGCACGGATGATCGTCCCTTGAAATCAACAAGCTTGTCATCGATGGCATGTCATTCCTAACGTGGTTTTAGAAGATGTGGTCTGCTAGTGTCCTGCAGATCAAAAAGTTCACTGTTATCATCGTCAAACAGTTGGAAAACCAGATTCCTATGAGCGTTAGAAAAGTCGAGATGTATGAGGCATGTAAGGCCACTCATGGACAGCTAGATGTTAGGTGATTGACAAGGATGAGAGGCGGCATAAGCGTACGAATATCGTTATGAAATATCGAGTCTGGAGCGAAATAGTTATCTGACGCCAGAGGTGCGAACTTCACAAATTTATGCATCTTGTACCATCGTCATTTTCAATGACTCACAGGCCATTGCAATGCTTATAACCTGAGAAAACTATGGTATTGGCACACCGTATGTTGCAGCGGCGAAAATTTCATAGAAAATATTGGAGTGCTATGCCCACTGTATCATATCTAGTATCCCCCAAATTAGGGGTCCATATCTTTGACCCTGAAATAGCTGCGATGTTTTGCAACATACTGTGATAAATGCTGAACATTTGTCTCACAGTAGGTATACCAAGTTTCTTTCCAAATAACTATTTTTTGTTTTTTAAATGCTAAAATTTACACTTGCATCTCAAATAGCTTTTCAGCAAAGGACAAACTGACCCTCTTCAAAATCACCTGGTGGGAAACTGAGAAATCATTACTTAAAGGTAGACTGCCACCTTTTTTCCACAAAACGGTTTTCACTAGAGCTGAGCCACCTATGTCCCAGACTGAAGTCGGTTTTCCGAAATTCGAACCCGTTTGCGAGAAATCGGAGCCCACAGTTCAGTTTGATGCCATTTTTTTAGTCCAAGAAAACCGACATCTCTACTGTTTATCGATAACTTTGAAACATGAATTTTCTTGTCTTTTGGTAAATATATGTCAAAACTTTGATTGTTTCGAGATCAGAGAAGAATTTTGGAGAGTCAAAATAAAAGTTAAACTTATATATTCAGTAGTTCATTTTTCCAAAAAAGTGTGGGAAATGGGGTTTAACATGGGCCAGACCCATTCCAAATGAGCCATGATTTTTAAATGTTTTTACGAACTTAAATGCAAAATAAATTATACATGGCCAATTTCTTATGAAATCATATATTAGTAAATCATAAAATACCTTACTTTTTCAAATAAAATGTAATAATCTTATGACCTTGAAGTCTAGTGATGTGTAAACATTGTCGCTAGACATTAACCGATTGATAATTGTATGATAATCGACAATTTTTTTTCGCGATTCACGTGATGATACTTTGTCAGGTGAATTCTAAAATTTTGTTTTGTCCAGGGAATAAATCATAGGCCGATCTGAGAAAACTTTTTGAAGGTGGCAGTCTTCCTTTAAAAATTTTGCCACCAGGTGGTTGCCAAGACGTACCACTTCTGATACAGCAGGGTTTTCAACAATTTTCGCCTTCAGGATTAGCGCGCGAATTTTCTGCAAATTGACTTACAGATATGATACCGGGGGCACTAGAGGGTACTCTATTTTTTACGATTTTCAAAGTTGACGTCAAAATAATGTTTCACTTCTCCCCGGTCTCCCCTACCTACATAGGTCGGCAGGTAGGTACAGGCACAAAGTAACGGTGGATCCATCAAGCCTGACCGAGGAAGGGCCTGCTATAATTTGAAAGTCACCGAATCAATTGACCTGGGAAATGGACGAGGATGTCCATTGCTTCGGTGACTCAAATTTAGCAGGCCCTTCCTCGGTCAGGCTTGATGGATCACCGTTGCTTTGCGCAGTGGCGGATCCGGGGGGCATTTGCCCCTCCCAAACGGCATAATTTTAGCATTAGGTACAGTCACATCATCAAAGGTCGTCTTCTATACTACGTCGGCCGAGGACATCTTATACCTTAGTGCCACTATATGGAACAGTCTCACGCCTCATCCATCTGGCACTCATGCAGTCACCCATGTCCACATGTAGGGGCTGCGCGCACTATAGGTAGACATCGAATTTAAGGTGATTTGTGGAGAAAAAAAAAATCCAGAACGTATGTCAGCGTTCGGTCGCCTCTGACTGCAGTCGCTGCTAGTATGACAATCAGTTGGGTTCTCATGGTGGATCTTATGGTCTGAAATGTTCAAGTCTTTCCTGGATTCCAATTTCGGCAATAAGTCGCAGCGTGAATCCTTCATGCTACGTGCGTCGTGCGGTCTTAGATTCTAAGCACGGCCACTCCGGTCGACCACAGGCTGCAGCCCACAGGTCACTTTGGATCAGTGAGTGAACCTGTATAATTTTTGCAAATAATAAAAATTTGCTCATCGATCAATGTATGTTTTACCGTTTCGAATTCGCATGGATGCGTTTTTTTTAGAATAAAATGTCCGTAGCCTCAGCTCGTTTCCTATCCTATCGTGCTAAATATTCATCAAGATCAAGGTTTTTTATATAAAACAACACCGGGCTGCAAATTGCCGGTCCCGTAGCTCAGTCGGTAGAGCGTTGGACTCCGCGTGGTGAGAGCACGCGTTCCCGGTTATGACAGTCCGGGTTCGAAGCGCGACGGGCGCTCGACATTTATGAGCCTCCTGACAGGTATGGTTGCGGTTGGTGGCAGGCCGTAGCCAGGCGAAGTCAGTGAGGGGACCGGCCGTGCGCGGCTATGTGCGCACGTTAAACTTTGGACTCTAAATTCTGCCATAGAACCGGAATTGCGCGATCGGAGTGTAGAGGGCAGGGTCACCGCAACAAGCTTCGCTTAGCTGTGGCTCTGTCCTTGTGAATCCTTCCTATCAAAAGGTTCGGACTAAATTTATAAAAAATTGCATTAATTGGATTTTATGACAAATCAGCGAAACCTAGTTTTTATACTCGTATTTTGCAGCACCTTGTAAATCATGCATGAACATGACGTTACATTTTAGACTGACGCCCCTGTCGCGAGCTGACAATGGCGCCCCTCTCAAGGGAAAGAGTCGCCCCCTCGAGCACCATGCCCCCCCCCCCTTTCGCTGATTTCTGGCTACGCCACTGGGTACGCCTATGGACGAGGCATGGAAAGAATCGATAAATTGTTATGGTTTGCCCCCCCCCCCCCCCCCCCCCAGGCAGTTATTTGCCTGGAGTGGTAGGCTGTGCCGCATCACACGGGCTGAGTTCACAAATTATAGCTTTGTCCCAATGCTCACAATCTGAATCGACGCGCTTAATTGCGTGATAAACGGCACAACTGGGTGCGGCTAATTGTGGGCTACGCTTTTGCGAAACTGCCAAGTTTGGCAGCCCAACTCGACCAAAGCGAAATACGCCTAGAACCATCCTGGT